AAAAAAAAAAAAAAAAAAAAAAAAAAAAAAAAAAAAAAAAAAGCGCTCTCCATTCGACACCACAGACCGCACCCCGACGCTCCTCCCGCCGCGCTGCACAACACGCCTCCCGCCGCGGCTCCTCCCACCACGCTCGCTCCCGAGGCCGCATTCCGCGGCAGGGCGGGCACTGGAGCTGCGGAGCCGGGCGCGCTCATCCTCACGGGGAGGGAACGGGATCCGCCGGCCTACCACCAGACGCTCTCAAATGGAGAGCGCTTGGAATTTCATCATAAATTCTAAAATGAAGCTTTTAAACGGAAATATCCCTATTGGAAAAACCTATAGGGCACACACGCTCAGGGTTGATCCCCCCATTCTTGTACTTGGTCGCGTCCGCGGCTAGTCGGCTATGCTTCCTGGAAGATTTGTTGCGTGGGTTTCTGGGATTTGGAGTCCCGGTGGAATTCTGGGACTTGTTTCTTAAGTATAGGGAGCCGCGTTTTTTCTGTATCTCGTGCTTCCCGAGATTGTAGGCATGGAAGTTCTAAAAACAGCTTGAGTATCTGAGGGCACTGGAAACATGGCTTCTTCGCAACTTGAATTCTGTTTTCTGGTCAATTCTCCTTGCCAATTTCATCGATCACTAAAATTAAACAGTGCCGTTTGGGGGAATAAGATTTAGCAACCTACTAAGAACTTTTTTTTTTTTAAAAATCGAAAGAGGGTTTCTCTGTAGCTTTGGAGCCTGTCCTGGAACTCTCTGTAGACCAGGCTGGCCTCGACCTCACAGAGATCACTTGCCTCTGCCTCCCGAGTGCTGGTATAAAAGACATGTGCCCCCATCGCGGTGCAAAACAATCTTGAATACAGTACATCATCATCACGGTTGTCCAGGAGGGCAACCGTGCCATCTGGATGCATGTTTTCACCAATAAAAAATGGTGGTTACTGAAATCAGCAAGGATGTGCTTAATCTGCTCTGCAGCTCCTTTGAGTAATTTCGTGTAATCTTTGCTGTGATTTTTGTCGCCTCTTTGGTAGAGCTGTTTCTTCTAAGCGATGGTTCATGATATCAACACGGGTGACTACTGTGCTTTCAGTGCCTTCGCCCTCCTCTTCGGCAGAAGCATTTCCGTCAATGAGCGAGTCACAGACGCTACCCTCTGTTCTACTGACCATCTGGCCCACCACCTCCAGGCACTCCTTGCCTGCGCTTTACCACATCTCATAGATGTCAGAGAACGCCTCATCACGGCTGATGAGGTCCCGGTAGATGATCATGACGGTGGCTGGTGACAGGGCGCTAGCCTGGCAGCTCAGAGAGCACGGTGCAGTCTGAGTGGGCAGAAAAGGCCAACTTGAGCGCTCCCCAAACTCACATCTGTAGTAACTTTTAAAACAAGGAAATGAAGCTGGATATGGTGGCACATGTCTGCAATTCTAGCACCTGTGAGTGGAGGCAATCAATAGTTCAAGGCCATCCTCAGCTACACAGTGAGTCCCAGGACACATAAGGAGACCATATGGACCATGGACACCACAGCATGTGCCCCACTGTAGCTCGAACCACAGATACCAACATGTTCTCCGGGAGCAGCATGGACCATGGACATCTTTGGAGGAGGCCCAGACCAGAAAATGAGCCATGCTACATCTCGGTCATCCTCTCGTTGCTCAAAGCCAGGGTAAAGGTGCTCAAGTGAGCTCCAGGCTGCTGCGCACCCTGAGTCACCTACTTGGCAACAATGTGCTCTCCGGTCCACCTCGGCCTCCTCCCACAGCTGTCACTGCCATTGTGTCTCTGGTTCCACCTCTTTCCACCACGCATGTGTACTCCATTCCCCCGTCTTTCCCTCCTCTCCATCGCATATTTGTTTATGGAAGTGGCATTGCAAACTGCAGTGTGTCACACAGTATATTTTTTTTCGCAGTATATTTTTTTGACCAAACAAATTTACCTGCAAATATTCATTGCAACGAGTCATTGGTAAGGTTCAGGGTTTCTGAATACTGTCAATTCTGGTCTATCATTAGGACTCATCTTGGATATCCTTCTGTTGCCCAGAATCAGGGTCATCTTGGCTAGGCAGGGCGACTGACCTAGGTAGGAAGCTGTTGGAAGGTAGACTTTTCTACACTCCCAGCCCACTTTAGTGTTTTTTTTTAATGCCCTGGGGCAAATGTTCTACAGTGTTCCTTACGATCTCTCCGTTCCTCCCCTTTTCCCTCCCCTTCTAGGGTTTTGCCATGCCTTCCATGCTGACCCTCACACCTCAGCCTCCCAAATGCTAGTATTACAGACATGAGACACCGGGATTACTTTTTAGTTATTCGGAGTTTTCCCTGTGGTTGTGGTAAGAATGTCCATAGCGTTTCCTTTATGTGCATTCAAGAAGCATTCTGACAGTGGTTTTATATGTAATGCAGTTGAAAATAGGTAATGTAATATGCAAACAGTTAAACGGAACACAGAAATGTAATTTTCAGTAACAAACTACTAGAAAATATTGAGGCAACTCTTTTTTGTTGTTGTTGTTAACCTCTTTAATTAAAGAAAATAAGTCAGTAGAAGAGAGCCTTTTATTGCTTGGTTGTTTGGTCTTGAGACACTATTTCACAATGTAATCTGAGCTGGCCTGAAACTTACTATATAGATCAGGCTGGCCTCAAATTCATAGAGATTCGCCTGCCTCTGCCTCCCACGTGCTGGCATTAAAGGCGTGGATAACTGAGCCCAGCAGCAGAAGAGCTGTGAGGTCCTGGCCTAACAGGAATCATATCTTAAGGATTTGATTATCTTATCCTCATAAGGAGAAAGAGTCTAAGGATAACTGTATCTTAAGAAACCTTCTGCCCGGCAATGGTGGCACACGCCTTTAATCCCAGTACTCGGGAGGCAGAGGCAGGTGGATCTCTGTGAGTTTGAGGCCAGTCTATTCTATGAAGCGAATTCCAGGACTGCCAGGGCTATTACACACAGAAAAACCCTGTCTCAGAAAAAAAAAAAAGAAAAAGGAAGGAAGGAAGGAAGGAAGGAAGGAAGGAAGGAAGGAAGGAAGAAAGAGAAGAAGAAGCAAAGAAACCTTCCTTTTTTTTTTGACCCTCCCACTGATGGACTTTCATATTCGTTTTGAATTACCTCTACCCCCACGTGCCCTTCAGATGGGATCAAATGTGGAAAAGTGTTTGCTCTGCCCTTCAGGTGGTCGTGAAAATCTGCCACTAGATTTTCACTCTCTGTTTCTCAGACGATACAACATGGGAAGCCTCCCAATCCATTTTTTCTGTTTCCTAAATGTTATAGACCCTCAGTAATATCCTCTGCTTTGTGCTGGAGACACAGTGCAACGGTAGAGCGCTTGCCTAGAGTGACTGAGGTTCTGGGTTCATTTCCCTGAGGGAAGAAATCAATATCCTCAACTTGGCATAAGCCTCCACCCTCTGCAATTTCACTGAAACTGGGACAACATCATCAAAAGGAGAGAAAACTATTCAGACTGGAAACCCTGGTCATTCGGAGGGTTTTATTGCCTTGTAGAGATAAGCATTGGTACTGGACTCAGCTATACTTGCCTCTGACTGCTTGTAATACCTGGAATAGAAAATCAAATTTGTGCTAAAAACCCAAATGTTTAAAAGACTTAAAAGTATTATTTGCAAATGTTTTCTCATTTTGCAGCCATCAGAGAGCTTATCCCATTCTGGAGCGAGGCAATAGTCTGTTTGGAGAACAGTGAGTGAGAGAACAGGTGATAGATACAGACTCTGTGGTCACGCTTTAATATCACGTCATTTTACTTAAGCTTTGCATGTGGGGGTTGGGTGTGTGTGCATAATTGTATGTGCATGTAGTAAGGAGGCCGCTTGTTGTGTCCTGGCTGCTTAGCCCCAAAATAATCACACAGAAACTGTATCAATTAAATCACTGCTTGGCCCATTAACCCTAGCTTCTTATTGGCTAACTCTTATATTAATTTAACCTATTTCTATTAATCTGTGTATTGCCACACGGCTGTGGCTTACCAGGTAAAGTTCCAGCGTCCATCTCTGGTGGCTACATGGCTTTTCTCTGACTCTGTCTCCTTTCTCCCAGCATTCAGTTTAGTGGCCCCCCCAGCTCTGTTCCCCTATAGCTATACTATAGGCCCAAGGAAGTTCATTTTATTAATTAACCAATCATATTCACAGCATACAGAGGGGACTCCCACATCATGTGCACATTTGTCATGTGTATGTGGGATCCAGAAGCCAACCTCAACTCTTGTCCCTCACTCAGGAACCATGCACCTTGTTTTTTGAGGCAAGATCTCTCACTGGAACCTGGGGCTCACCAATTAGGCTGAACAGTCTGACCAGTGAGCCCAAAGAGCTCCCTCTGTCTCCAGCTCCCCGGCACTGGGGTTCTAAACATAAGTCACCACAGCTGGCTTCATGCTACCACACCTGGCTCTTTACATAAATTCTAGGGGCTCATCACAGGTCCTTATTCCTGTTGGTAGGCACCACACAGGTGAGCTATCAAACCAGCCCACTGCTTAACTATTGTAGGGTATTCAGGAGAGAACCCTGCTCAAACATGGGTTAAGCCAATAGGAAGTCTTTATTAGCTGGC